AAATACGGTCGCTGTACACGTGCTCTTGTCGCTCATTAAAGCAACACCGCAGGATGAAAACACTCATTCCATGAACGCACGGCCANCCCAGTGTTGATCATGTAGAAGGTTTGGTTCGGGAACTCTTTGATCCGGTCATGAACTGGTACCTGGGCATCTTTCTTGGGGGTTCTCGTGGCCATGGCTCCCCGACTGTCGATATTCCTGCCTGCCCCCTCCGCGACGTTGGCATGTGCCCGCCTCCGTTGGGCCAGGCTGACGACCGCACGGTCCCTCTCGATGCCCTCCTCTCGCTCCGGTGCAGCAGGGTTGTTCGCGATCGCCTCCACCCGCTTCGCACGTTTGTTGGCGGCCCGCTTCTCGCTGTTCTTGCGCGCTCTTTTCTTCGATGCGTCTGCCGCCTCTTGGAACAAGTCATCAGACCGTTTCGTACCTCAGGCGGTATCGATTCCGGACTTTCGGGGGAAGTGGGGCCACCAGCACTACGTTGGAGTGCAGGGGCACTACTACTGTTAGAAGAAGCTGAACCAGCTGCAGAGATCCGTGGTGGAACTCTGGCACGGGCACCGGCAGCAGGTGGTGCGGCACCGCCGCTCCCACTACCGCTGCCGCCGCCGCTGCCGCTGCCGCCGCGGCCGGCAGCAGCGGCACTTGTTTTTTGGCCGACGAATTGCACCTCCTTCTCCGAATTCCTNCTGTCGCCGCTGCCGCTGCCGCCGCTGCCGGCAGCAGCGGAACTTGTCTTTTGGCCGACAAATTGCACCTCCTTCTCCGAATTCCCTTCGCTTTCACTGCTATTATCCAACCTGGCTTCCATACCGCCAAGAGGCGACGGCATCGCACTGCCGTTCAGCTGTGTAGCCGTGTACAGCGCGTACGTGTCAGCTGTGTGTATGTAGTCTCACCGGGAGACGGGGCACCGTGAATATAATCGGCGACCATCGGCGACCTCACCTTTCGATACGGCGGAGCCCCCTTCAAAATCGTGTTTTTTTTTTTGTTCTCGGTGATTTTTTTTTTACCCTTTTTGCGGCGATTTTTTTCAGAAATCGGCGTTTTCGGCGAAACATGGGTCCCAACACGACACGCCGATTGGGGTTAGAAACACGCGAAGGAAACACTTCGGACTGCGGCATGCCGACGTCGGCCAGCAGACAGCCGACGAAAAATTTGCCCGGACGCAAGGCAAAAGACACGTGAAGAAGAAAACCGGTCAATTCCGCGACGTGACGGGCAGTCGCACACCGACGCGACCGCGGCCACTCGCCCAACAAACGGTTTAATTTCTGTTGTTTTCGCAGAGGCATGGTCACTGTGAGAGTTTGCGTGTCTAAAATCCATCCCAACACCTCCAAACGCGTCGAAAAATCGGTGATTTTCTTTGCAGACAACAACGGAGGATCGTTTGGCCCCCGGTGTCCCAGCAGACGGAAATGGTCCGACGCGATCGACTGCACTGCACGTAGGCAACGACGACCATCCGTGAAAAACCGCGCCTCGACAAGCACACCGTCATCCACATAATACCGAACGAAAAACGCGGAACCAGCGAAACCGCCCTCCATAGAAATTTGGGCACAATCACTCGGTAACGATACGGGGAGGTTTTGGGGAGGAACAAGCTGAACATGATCAACCGCCGCAACTCCGGCAGACAACACAGAAGCTGTCTGAAAAGTAGTGTGGGTGTGTGCATGCTCAAGAGCGGAACCAAACAGCGACCAAAAACCTGGGCTGGAACGCCAACCAAACTGGCAACGAAGGTCGATGACGACCACGTCCCCCATCGTGTATCCGAATACCGACGCCCTCGAAGGGTCGACCAACACTTGGCGAAAAGCCTCACGCATGTCAATGCGGCAGAGCAAAATCTCGAGAGTCGGCCCGTGCAATTGGCGCAAAAAGAGGACGCGCGACAAGACATCGAAAAGTACATGTCCCAACAGACACTCGGGGGCACGATCAAAATCTGTATCTGCATTGACGCTAGACTGCGCACCAGCCGCTGTGAATGTGAGATCATGAATGATGCGGAATTTCGGATCGTCCACCACCCCAAGGGGGGAAACACGCACACCCAAAATTTCACGGATGAACTGCACGTCGAAGACGAGAGCACGACCTAACGTAACATCCGAAACGATCTTGTCAATGATCTGCGGAGTGTATGGTAAAATGCTGGAATGGTTGCCGTATTTTAATTCGGCGTCTAGACACCCCCCCGGCGCGACATCGACCGGCGCGCCAGGACACAACACGCGGAGGAGGTTGTCAATTTGCGGAAAACGTTTCGAGACCCCAAAAAATTCACGAACCGACGCAACATTGACATGGGGCGCAAAGAAGCCGGCACCACCGGCCGCCACGAGCACTTCAACACGCCCCCCACACTGTCTAAGCAAGGCGGAACCAGAAGAAGCCACCTCACTAAGACCCACACCCATATCGGAGGGTGAACTCACCGCTGCCAAAGCAGACACACGAGATCGCCATTCGCAAAGTTCACGCGAACCCGCTATCGACCTAAACGAGACATCACCTGGTCGCAACGAAGAGACAGCCCCGGGCACACACGCCCCTCGACCGACACCCACGCCCGCCGCCGCCAACGCGGCGGCCCCAAGCGCTCTGGAACCCGGCCCCGCTGTCTGATCTACGCTCCCACACGACTGTGGAGTTGGCCCCGCCGAAAGGCAGAGCCCGTGTCCTCAGTTGCTGCCATCTCCCCGGCGGACGACCAACGCCGAGGAGCCGCTTCCGCCATCGGTCGCGGCGCCCGAGGCTCCCCCTCCACCCGAAGCGCGACCCCCACCGCCGCCGCCACCCTTGCCGCCCCCAGTCGCATGGCGGAACACGCAGGAGTCGCCCCACCTGCATGTTTGGGAGTCGCGATATTCGAAACACACTTTCGACCGGCGTTTGGAGTCCCCACCCGCGGAGCGGGAGTCCCCCCGCCGTCTCTTACCCCCACTCGATCCAGAAGACCCTCCACCACCCACAGTCCCGAACATCCGTAGCGCAATGCTCCCGGACATGGAGAAGCCGTTGATGCCGTCGAACCGAGGAACCGGCGGGGGGCCAAAGCGCTCGAAAGACTCCTGCGGCACCGGCAAATAATGCATCGGTAACATCCACAACATTACCGCATTGCCCATTCACGAAAGTCATCTTTGGGGAGGTCGGCGAAGGTCCCCCGCGACCCCCTCCCCTGAA